TGGTTTGTTTCATATTTAAAAAGAAAAACAAGGGGAGAAAGCCAGCTTTTTTAGCTGGCATTGAAAAGGGAGGGACTAGAATGCAGTCCTTAAAAGACACATTCAGGTGTGACCTTCATAATTAGAATTACCAGCCAGGTAATTTTATATCATTTTAATGTTATATTAATATTTGGCTGAATCCATTTGATAAAATATTTGTTAAAATACATGCATATTAGAAAAAAAAAATCATATGCCAGCATTTTCGTATGAGAGTCTTCTGGAATTCAAATTATTTACATTATACTGAGATACATATAGAACATCTATAACAAATAGACTAATAATAAATTAAATTAACATATGTATAAAAATAATTCCAAGTTCTTTTACATTTCTGTTCAGTATCAAGCAGTGTGTTAAAATGCATTTTTCATAAATGCATTTTTCATAAAACCACATGCAAGGATTTGTGATCGTGAAAAAATCACCTCACAACAGCCACATGTCTAGGCAAATCCTTAGAAGCTGGTGTGGACCTCACACAGACATTCCAGAAGAAAAGACATTACTAGAAAGTTTTTCTTGAAGTGAAGTAGAATATGTGTGAGCCTACTAGGCCACTTTGATAAATAAATAAAAGCTTTTTTTTCTGTTCTAGCACAAAACTGGTTCAACTGGAGGGCAAGCTAAACCCTAATTCATATTTTACTTAGTTGTTTTCTTTCCCTTTTTTTTCGCTTTTTTTTTAAGTCGTCCCTTAGTTTGTTGTTTTTGCTAAAGTTTTTTCGTAAGACAAAGAGCCATTTAGCTTTGGGTTATCTGAATTTTGCCTTCTGGCTTTACAGTATATATCTGTGAAACTCCTTTCCAAGACAAAACTCAGTGTCCCAGGATTATCAGTGTACTACTTTAGCTATGGATTTCTTTCAAAATTTATGTGATTAAACCAATACAGAGTTCCTCTGAACAATCTGAAATTAGTGCAGACCTGACTTACTTAGAGCAAGTAGCATTGTCAGATGCAAGTTTTACCTAAAGAACTTGTTGAGACTGCAACTATATTTAGCTATACTCAGACTGAATTTTTCTATCTCAGATGGTTCAGTTGATTCTTTGAAAGACACCATGTGCTGCTTTTAGTACTTAGACTAAATTTAGTAAACTATATCAAGCCTAAATTAGGCTTGATATATATATATATATGTATATATATATATGTATTTTTTTTTTAATTTAGTTATCTATATCAAGCCTAAATTAGGCTTGATATAGATAACTAAATTAAAAAAAAAAAAAAAAAAAAAACTAAATTAAAAAAAAAAAAAAAAAGGCTAATTTAGGTTTGATATAGGCCTAAAGCAATCCACCAGCTTTTTTAATGCTGCTCTCCTCTTGCCATGCCTTGGTGCCAGAAGCCTGTGTGCCTCGCTTTTGGCACTGCTGGTACTCACATCCCAAGTGCAGCTGAGTTGGCTTTGGCAGACTTGTAGTCAGTCACAGCTTCTGATGTCAGAACTGGACATTGAGTGAACTGGGATTTATATTATAGTAGCTACCTATCTATTGGTTGATTTTAAGTAAATGATGCAACCTCTGTGGATGATTTTCACTTACTATGTTTATTATGTTCTTGCATCTGTATTTCCTCTTTATTCTATTTTACTGCATGGAATCAACCAATCCTTAGTTACTTGCATTTCTTTTCAGCTTTAAAAAGAAACTCCTAATAAAAGTAAAGTTCTAAAAGCAGTACTTCTGCTGGAATAGCTAAAATTACAGTTTCATATAACTTTTGGACACATTCCTTCACACCTAAGAACTAAAGATGGCGTCAAGAAATACAAGCATATTTTCAGGGATTTATACAATTTTTCTAAGCAGGAAGAAAATCCATAGGAGTTCAACAGTTTGTTACATTCTAAGGTTGATTTTCAATTTAAGCCTAAACTTTCTCCAGTGGTCTTTCATATGAAATAAGATAACCTGGCCTAGCTTGTATCTGTACAGTTTTATAACCAATTGGTACATTCAAAGATTTTCTATGTTCCTCAGAGCTACTTAATGTCTCCCCTTTCCCTAGCAATACCAAGTATGCATTCTGTCATTTTAGTTCATTCTCCTGTGTAAACCACAGTCAGTCACTTAACTTGTTCACTGTTACAACTGATGCAAGAAATCAATTTGTCGCTTTACTTTGTAATTCACAGCACTGACTTTCATTCCTCAGGGTGTCATATCTCCACTTGTGAAGGAGTCAAATTAAAAAGTATGGTTCTTACTTTTAGGTTACATTTCACTATCTCACCCCCTTACACAAAAAGGTTAAGTGTCTTTTCAAATTAAGGCAGCAGTAATTAACCAGTGGTGTTGTTTGTGGTTTGCCAACTCTGGGCGTTAATGAGAGAGAAATTAGCACTTAGCAGCAGGAGTTCCTGATAGTCAGTGGCAAATGCTTAATGGGCCAACAAGTTTATTTTAGTCTTAAGTACTGCACTTAAGTGCAGTAAACAAAAGTATGGCTGGGTTTTTATGTGATCATACACGTGAGCTTTATGATATAGAGCTATAATAGAATGAATGACACAACAGAGTTGAAAAAGTGCAATCTAAACAGCACAGGGCAGTTTTACTGTAACACCACAATCAGAAGCAGGATTGATGGATATTTTCTTGCCGAAGATGTCCTGCCATTAACAGTCTGCAGATGTTCTTGTATATAATTTTATCATCAAATTTTCTATTTCTGAACATAATTTTAAGCCCTCAAAATTGTGCTTGAGCTGAGGTGATTTGCTCACAAGACATAAATTAGCCTTTTGAGGTGTCTTGAAATAGTAATTTTATTTAAAATTACAGTTTCAAAAAATAAATAAACAAATTACTTAAGCACAGTGCCACATGCATTTTATGGTGGATGGGGGGGGATTCAGTCTGCCACACAGCGAAATGAGCCCTTCAGAACTTGGGTGAGCAGCTGCTCATTAGCATCAGGATTTTACCTGACACGTGTGCTCGTAATGAGTAACTACTTGTATACATTTCATACCTTCTGCCTTGCACAAAATAGCCCATTAGAAATGTAAGGTCTGCTCCCTGTCTTCTGGGGATTTTGCTTTTAATATAATTTTGGTTAGTACGTAAGTACATTCCCACCTGATTACCCATTTCTGTATTTGCTTGATGTGGGAACAGATAAGTCATCTGTGAGGGAACAAAAGCGGGGACCCTTGCTGGATCAGCACACTGCTGATCTGTCTGTCACCAGAGGCTGTGAGCACCAGTGCTTGGCCTCGCTTGCCTTGGCCCCTCACTCCTGCTTGGGTCTCCAGGCTTGTGGGTGCCGTAAGGTTCTGCACACTTTGGCCCCGCAGGAGCCTAAGCAATGGACAATGGAAAGAAGTCCGTGGAAGCTGAAGTTGTTGGTCGACCAGACAAAATTAGGAACTGGGTACAGGCAGCATCGTCTTCATATTAACCACTTTTTAGTCTGTACTGTATTGCCAGACATGTCAGAATACGTTACCTAGTACAACCAGATGGGTCAGAGTTTTAACCTTTCAACTTTCTAATATCACCTTTCAGTTGCAAAAGCATATTTGCCAGTGTGACTTCATCTATGCTGAGGGTAATTTACTCTGCCACTGAACTGTGGCCACTTGGGAGGTTGAAGAGTAGTAGCCATAGACCAAAATGTTACAATGCTCTGCAGCAGTTTTAGGCAAAAGAGTACCACATCTAATTGAAACTGCAGGAGGAAGCCACAGGGGTTGCTTCTTCCTTTGATGCCTATTCCATTACATGAGCACATCAAATAGAGTTTTCTCTGCATTGCTGGAAGGAAACCACCCTCACAAAGCCAGTCTGGCACTACCCATAGCTTTGAGTGCTTGTATTGTCTGCTCAGTGGACATTTAGGTTGCCGTGCCTTCCATCAGCACATGTGAATTAAAATTAAATGTTAACAAAAATTGGCAACCATATTGGTTGAATCCTGAGTACAACTCTGCATATAAACCATTACATGACATTCTATTGAACTTTTTCTTGTACAGACGGTACCTAACAGCTCATCCTGCACTGTTGGTTTTGGCAAGTTCACTACAGCATATAATAAATCAAGGAAAGAAAAAGCTTTTTGGCCTAATGTTGTACAGACTGCTGTAATGTTAGACTACAGAAAGCAGTTCTGTTTTTAGACATCCTTTTACTAACCCAGCATTCATAATTTATGATTCCACTGTAAAATTCCTGCAACACTACACCAGAAGTAGTGCTGCCCTTTAATTAAGTGCTCTCAGTAGGAAAAACGTGAAACTGATGTGCAAAACATATCGCAGTACACGGTGATTGATAGTGATTACTTCTTTATGAACCCAGCCTGAAGGTCTGAACTTCCTGATGGGTAAAATAGTCCATGGGGCTACTTCCTGAGATAGCCTAGTGGGGATCAGTCAGAGTTAGCAATATCTGAGGAATTCCTGAGGCACATTTCAGAGCCATTACAACACAAACTTTCTGTCTCTTCTGAATTGTGCTTTATGTTAATAATTACCTGAATAATAGCTCATTGTAGAGATTATATTTTAAAGATTCATTGTTATCTCCATGGTATTATAATTTGAATGAACTGGGACATGTGTAAAACCTGGTACCTTTAATGTCTACACACACAAATCTAAAAGAGCAGGGTGCATGTCAAAAGAGGTTTCTCTGTGTATCATGGTTACTGAATGTTACTTAGTATTTAGTGCACGGGTATATTTACTGATGTGTGCAGAAGATTCAAAATAAACTGAACTCTGATGTGGATTCTGTGAGTCTCTAAATATCATTTTTATTCATAGAATCAGGTAATATTGACATCAATCAATTTCACATTCAAAATTTGAAAATTAAATGGAGGTTAAATACTCCCTCCAATTTTGCAGTGAAGATTTGTGTTGGAATCACAGAGGTGGGAAATTGAAATTCCTCTAACACAGTTACATAGTTCATTTTTCTTTTTTGTGTGATAGATTTGGCCCTGGATTAGTCATCTACTGGTACGGGTTTATTGAAGAGCTGGACTGCCATCGTGAACGTGGTATCCTGCTAAAAGACTGCTTCCCTACTGACATTGTGACTCTGCGCCACAGCATGGCTCAGCGCTGATGTTGGAGGAAGAGGTAAATCCGGAAGCAATTTTACTTTCCTGCAGTGTAAACTAATGGCAGCATCTGCCCTGAACTTCAGCTGAACTCCTGCTGCCTGCCCTTATGCTACTGCTGCTTTACACAAACATATCAAGAGTTTCTGTTTTGCTTCAGTCCTCTGTTGTGATCAGCCAAAAAAGACAGACACAACCCACTCATTATCAGCAGTTCTGTCTCTGTCAAACAGCAAGTTTCGAAATACTCATAATCTTCCTTCCGGATGGCTTCTTCAAGCATTCTAACAAAGACAAAAATGCAGAGGCTGAAAGGTGGAGCTTTCAGTTCTTATCCCTGTTACAGAGTCACCTATAAAATTAAGTGTTTTTTATGAATTCATTATGTGCTAGTGATGTGACTAAAACACCTACCATGATGTGGAGGTTTGGTGAAGACTGTTTTGGAGCTTAAAACAATATCATGCAAAGCTGGTAAACCCCAAGTCGTAAGAGAGGATCATGGCTGTTACAGTAAATAGCCAGGTTTTGAGATAGTAATTGGTGTATGTGTTTTGTCACTATCTGATTTTTAAAATCAACAATGGAATCCCAAGTTAACAGTTAAAAAATAGGAGATTTTTAAACCAGGGGTGAAAGCAAAGAACACAGCTTTTCTTTTATGTATTTTGTGTTATTTTTGTTTTTATATTTTATGTATTTATGTGTTTTATGTTATGTATTTATGTACACCCCTGTGAAATTTGGGGGTAGTGTGAGGGAGACTTAGTAAGTATTTTAATGACTCAAAAATAACTCATGTTTTGTCTTTTCCTCACCCCTGGAGAATCTGTACCTAGGAATTTTTCTCTTAAATGACTAAGGAATGAATCTCTCTTTACCCCTACAGGTACTGTAGCAAATTTCTGGCACACAGAGGTCCAAAAGAACAATGTGCAGGAGCTTTCTATGTGAATTATTTCTGAAGGAGTTTACCATCCTGGTGTTCAAGAAGGGGAATTTAAAAAAAAAGGTACAACAGTGCTTCATACTGGATCAGTTCCACAAGACAAATAAAGCACACAAATGGACAGAAGTTCCTGCGTACTTGTTTTCTTGTAAGAGCCTTATTTTTCTCTTGCTAGAACCACCAGGATCAGCAGTTCTTTGAGGTGGGTGTTAGCCCTTTGTGAAGTTTTGAGTTCAGTCTCCTTTTTGCATCCGCATAGCCACTCAGAGGAGCAAGATTGGGTCTCAGGTTTGTTCTCTCAGACGTTTCTTAATGACAGCAGCTTATTGGGCTTGACACTCCATGCTAACTAATACTCAGGAAAGGACAAAATATATTAAAATGTCAGTGAGAGATTTGCATGTATGCTCATCATGTTCAGATGTTCTGAGAAGAAGAGCTATGAATTCAGCTGTAGAAATAAAGGTCTGATAACAGTCTCCCTAAAGCACAAGATGATGATCTTTTCCAGAAAGGAAGGGTCTCTAAAACATTACAATGCATCTTTATCACCTTTTTTTTAGTTTAAGTGTGCCTGTATGTTTTCAAAACTCATGTGCAGACGTTTTACAATCTTGCCTTGAGTGGAAAGGATATTATTCCTATTCAGGAGTTTTTCAGCTGTAGTTTTCAAATGCATACATAGTATTTTTATTTTTAATTTTTAGTTTTCACCTTAACACTTTGTGGTAAGTTTTAGACAGGAGTTTATCAATTTGACAAATCTTTCCTTTTCAAGAAAGAAATGTCTTTAATCATCTAGTACTCTGTCCCTTGCTTCAGAGATAAACTAGAACAGCTCCACGGAGTTATTGTTGTATAGAGATATTTTCCTGTGTTTGAATGTGTTTTAGTGAAGAGATTTGTATTTAAAAAATATTCAAGCACCTGTAACTCATTTGCATTCAACTATTTAAGGTACCTGCCTGATGCTACACGCAGAAGCTACATTTAGGCTGTTACCCCCCCTAGGACTTTTAACTATGGTTTAGGTTAGTGGAATGTGTAAAATCAACAAGAGAATAAAAAAGAAGGAATAACTGAACATTATCGTAGAAGAAAATTCAGAAGTAATGGTTGTCTGAGTGAAATGGGTTTTAAAGGCAAACGGTATTTGTTTTAGCTACTGCATATGCTTTCTGTTGTACGAAATCATTTAAGTCAATTTTTACATGATACACTAATGCTGCTTTTTCTTTTTGAATAAATTAAATTTATCTGCACAGATGTTGAAAATTCTGCTAACCTTCATCAAACCTTTGCTTTATTTGTTTTTACATTAAACAAATTTATGTGGAGACACACAGATAAATCAGTTTAGGCTTATATTTGTGTATTTATTCCTCTACCTAATGCTGTGACATAACAGGTTGAAAAGCGGTACAGCTATATTTAATCAGAGCTTTGTACTCATCCTCATATACTGCCCACTTAAAGGATCTGTATTAGAATGAGGATGAAATTAACCACAAAAGTCTGTTTACTGTACCAATTTCATTGCATGCTATCAAAAAAGCTTTGCCACTACAAAAACTATGCTGTGTCATTATTTTAAATGCTGAAAGTAAAGCATAAAAAAAAAGAACTGTTTTGTTATTATTACTTGTATACTGAAAAAAAAAAAACCCTTTATTTGGCTATTTTCTCTGTTTATCAGATGTAAACATCAACTTTAATATTAAAGAGAAAGGCACTGCTGTTTGTTTGTGGGTTTTTCTTGGTCTGTTTTTCTTAACGTTGTGGCCATTAGAATCTTAACATTAAAACCAAATTCAGTTTTATGGAGTATTCTGTAGAGTGTGCTAATGAATTATGCCAAGCCAGAAAACAGAAGTGAACATAAAACTGAATGATGTTCTCACTGGCATATATAGACTTGCAAGCATCTGCTCTTACAACCACTGTTATAAGGCCTGTTCTGAGCTTTAGGAATTGATATAATTGTATTGAGCAGGGAAGCAAAACTTCCTTGTAAAGGAGGAACACAATGGTGGGTCGCACACTCTAATATATGAAGAAAACAGAGGTTTTACCATTCCTATATTCTGGGGCACATTATTAGTATGAGTTTAATAATCTTTCCCTAAAGACAACTCAGAGAGAAAAAGCTTTTGTCTAAAGCTGAAGAAAAGGGACCAAATGTCTTATTGTGCCTACTTCATTACATTAATATTACTTTTAATAAACATTGTTAAACATTAATAGTTAATAAACATTAATAAATATTAATCAACATTAATAAAAGTAATAGTTTTCTTCCTGTTCTGTTGTATATGTTCATTCAAAAAGTCATTCTTTCCTTGTATTGACTTTTGGATTTCTCCACCCTCTAGACTACTACAAAAGACTGTGAATACCTCTTTCCATTTTCCAATCCTCCCCTTTTAATTTTCCATCTTATTTTAATAATTTCACTTTTATTTATTCAATATATTTCCATTTGCTCATGTGTCCTGTTTGAAGAGCTTTCTACCATGTTTTCTACCACCTGCTTCTGTTTCTGTTACTACCTCTGAAGAGTGCTGGTTCCATTTCTGTATACATTTGAAATGACCAACAACGTAAAGCAATTTTCCTCTTACTCTAATTTAAATAGCAGCTCTGGATTCCAGGGAGACTGTTCTCAAAATTTCAACATAGCTTTGTAAAGGGGAAGCGTTGTGATGCTCTTCATACTCTTGGTATCAAATACAGGTCATTTTTGCAGGCTAGGAGTAGTCACCAAACAGAGTGCACTTAGTGCAGAATAATCACTCACTCCTCAATTGCTAGTACAGTTGTACAAAGGACTAAGTTAGTGCCTCTGTGCTACTAGAAAATAAGCAAAGGAAATATTAGGAATTCAGCTGTTAAAGTATCTCTTTCATTAAGGAGCCTTGCTTTCTGTGAGTTCATGCCTTGGTTTTGCAGTACTTCTGCAAGGAGATCTGTTGAAGTTAAAGGTTTAGCTTTCCTCCTGTGGCATCTCTGCTTGGTTCAGAGAGGAAAAGATGGCTTTCTCCCCATTTCCACATCACAGTCAATCTGGAAAGAGCTTGTGCGTCCTACAGGATGCTTTTATTTACCAGGGTTGATAACAACTCCTCAAGGGTCAACAAAAAGTACACAGAATTTAACTTGATTCTTGGTATTGCTTTGTCTGATGTAGTCTTACAATAGATAGCTTCTAAAGGGATCTTCTGCTGTTACATGGTGAATACTGAGCTAGGGTAATGGTTTTTAGAAATATGGATTTGTTATTTCAAGGATGAGATAAATTACACTAGAACAAATGCTGCTCAAGTATCAATTTAATATTACAGAATGAAATGGGAGGCTGCTTGCAAAAACAACAATAAAAATTTCCTCCTATCATGTTATTTTAAGTCACAAAGGGCAATTTGTTGTGGATTTTCAGGTTATTCAGAAATAATCTTTTTATTACATTGACAAAAGGAGAAACCTCAAGGGCTTGCTCTTTACAGTGGTGTGATAGGAACCTAAAGTGTGCCTGTTGAAAAATGAACTAGCTAACAATGGGAGCTTGGCAGCAACTTCACCATTTATAGAGAAACCGTCTATCTGGTACGATCTGTATAAAATAGACTTCTCTTAGGTTAGGGAAAGGTCACCAAGTTACACAAAGTTTGGATAGTCTAAATGCGTTACTCAAAACTAACTCTCCTGTGTACAGTAAATATTAATTGAACCTGTATTATTAAAAACATGCCAGGATTCAAAAGATTAAATAAGGAAGATGTAATTATGAGCTACATAATAAACAGAGCAGTTTTAGTTCCCCTTGTATTTTTTACTTTCCTGCTATTGTTTCATATATGGCTGTTATACAAAGAGCAGCTGAGGTCAGCTACTATAAATTATGGGTTTCGTACAATAGTAATCTACCAAAATTATTCCAGGGCTGGATCAAAGAGCATCAAAAGACTTTTCAAAAACTTTTTTACATAATAAAAAGTTTTTAATGAGGATTTCTTGGTTTAGAGATGCATCTTAGAGTATTTAGCTGCTTGCATTGACATGATGATATTTGAACACACAGGATTTGCATAATTTGTTTGCAGCCTCAAATAATCATGAAGTGGTAATATCAAAAAAACTCTTTAAATATATTACCTGATGCATTTTTCAGGCTAAGTTTTTAAGTGAGCTAAGAAAAAAAAATTTGTTTGTGTTTTTATTTAAGGAAGCCAGCAAGATTTCAAGTCAAATTTAATATTTCTTCTGTTTACAAACATACAAATTGTATTTGCAATGATAACATTATTAAAAATGATAACAGTAATTCTTAGTATCTCTCAGCTGGCATCATGCTTCTGGCCAGGCTTTCACCTAATGTGAACAATCACATGTCATCTGCACAGATCCATAGATGTGGCACTGCGATGTCAGCGCAAAATGAAATGTCAATGCAAGCGTATGGAGACGAAGTAACAGTATTGAAACCATGTCAGTGCATATCTACAGAGACCACGTTACTCTGTCAGTGTGATTTTAGGAAGATCACTTTGAAATGTTAAAATGAAATGAAACTAAGTCAATTAGGCAATAACAATTGAGGTTCAGGGATTAATTGAGGGCCTAAGGTGAAGCCAGTGGCCATTAACCCCAGCTAGTTATTAATTTTAGAGAAATAGAGAAATATCCTTGGCTAAGGTTATTGTCATTATTATTAGAGAGTTGTAGTGGTTTATTCTCTATATTGTATAAATACCTTTTGCTGTTGCTTTTAATAGTGATACATGAAGTGTGGTGTTAAAGGGCAGTTAAAGGCATATTAATGCAAAGTTAAGGTTTTTTAGAAAGTGAATCTACCCAATAGCAGACAACCACTTATGTTTTATACAGACATTTAACAGATTTATATTGATATCCAGCTGTCTGTAAACAGATTGACTATAATGTGCTTACCTTTGCGTAAGGAAGGAAAATAATACCAACATGGAGAAATATTCATTTACACAGCAACAACTATTTGCATGTCCCAAGTATTCACTGTTAACTTAAAGCAAACATGTAAATTGGTCAAACAACAATATTAAATAATTATTTTTGAAAATACCTAAACAAACACCAAGCCAAGGTTCTGAACTTTATGCAAATTCAGGATTTCAGTGTATATGACTATAGCATTAGGACACAAATGTGTAATATATTATTCTTTTATAATGTCAATGAGAGATTTTGCCAAGAGCAATGACTCTGTGGTTCAGCATGCTATACAACACATGAAATCTGTCTTGAGTTTCTGTTGCAAAGAGAGAAGACAGGGCACTAGATCAAAGGAATGCAATTGTTTTCTTTAAAAAAATTATTTATAAGAATTTGTGTGTGATAATATAAACCAAATACAAACACAATACACAAATAACACACAAACATTATTTTTGCTGCTAATAAATACCAGCTACCCTTTCTCTTACAGAAATCCCTGATAGATATTTGCTCAGTATAGGTGTGTTGGTGGAGGTCTTTAGGAAAGGGCAATAAATCAACATTTTTTCCTGTTGTAGAAGGTGATGTCCTGTGTTTAAGTGCTGGTGAGAGCAGTGAAACATTTCTGCAAGTTAAGTGACAGTGATGTTGAGAGATCATGACATGGGAGAGGGGATGAGCTACACCTGGGGGAGTGCAGGCCCAGCCCTGCTGAGCGCCCGCAGATTTTGGAACTTGAGCTGGACATACTGGGGCTTCTGTCTCCAGTGTGATGCTGCACAGTTGTGGTCTCGCCTCCCAAAGTGCCTCAGGGGTGCTGAGAAGATTTCTGAACGGTCTTTGAAACTCCCAGTAAGAAGAGTACTGTGAAAATGCAAGCTTTATTACGAGAAAACATCTTCCATTACAAATGTATGTATTGGATTAAATTTTTTCTTGTTAAATTTCTTTTGCTTTTCCATAGTGAGCATTCATGCCACACTTCATTTTGTATTCTGCCTCAGCATAACTCCGTAATGAGTGGAAAAACAGAAAAATTAGTTTGATCCGTTTATTTCCATACACACTTTAAGCAGCCTTATATTAATGTGTTTGGCACTGCATTACATACAAATGATAAACTAGACTTAGAAAAAAATAGTCTGGCTACACATCATAAAAAAAGTAGGCACAGTTGAGTCTCAAGACATACAGTTTCATCCTTTCTCTGAGGCACAACTGTCTATACAGATCAGCTTAAATGTCTGTCTAATCTAGTCCTAAAAAACTGCAATGATGGAGATGCTTAGAAAGATGATGGGAATCCATTCCCCTACCCATCTTTATGTAGTTAGAAAGATTTTTTCCAACTTATCTAAATCATTTTTTGCTGTAATAAGCATGTTACATCTCATCCAATTATAAATGCATATGGAGAGTAAATCTGGTATCTGCTTTCTTTTTCTGACCGTTTCTATATTTGAATATTGTTTGCTCAACAAAACACCAAAAACTCTTCCAGCATTTTTTCAAAGAAAGTTTTTAATGTTATGATTATATAATTTGTCACTCTACATATGTCTTATATTTTAGAAACCCATTATGTACAAGATTTCAGCAAATATGTTCCTTCAGTGACAAGTTGGTATCTTCTATTTAGGCTGGACCCTTTATAATGCCCACATACAGATTCATCAGAAATCCTATTATCCTATTATTCTTTTCCTTCTGGCACATACTATTTGCTAGTGTATTTTTAGTTTAACCTGCTGACTTAAAACTACTTC